TCCTGAACCCCTAATCCGGGTTGCTACGAAAGAGTCTGCTCGCGGAAAACCAGCGACAGTTACAGTGCTGCAAAAGGAAATGTAGGAATAGGAACCACAATCCAGCAGGCAAGGCTGCAAAAAACCTAGCCGACATACGGATTAGGGTTGAATGCGAGGAGTTCTGAGTTCAGAGTACCAGTTACCAATCTTCCCCAGTGATGGTTGCTGCAAACTCCTGGTATGCTACAGTGGGCCACTAGGTCTCGGGAATGGGGACGGGGTCAGTTCCTATAGCTATCAGGTGTTCCACTGAATGATTGATATGGGCCCCATGCTGCACTGTACACTCCAGGATCGAATAGCATTCGCTGAACGGATCCACGCAAGGCAGAATGCAATGCAGACAGCAAGTGCCGGCAGTCAGAGAAGCTCAACAGGGCAAGAATCGAGAACCCTAAACCATGAACCCCTACACTCTCAACCCTAACCCCATTATTATATCCTTCTCCTGGCCGTTCGGGATTCCCAAAGCCTTCCAAGATCCGCAATTGAGAACTATACTATGAATTATAGTCGGGTCCCTGATATGATGTAAGGTATATGCGTAAATAATGGGATTTTGCAAGGTCTGGGTTCAACCTTGAAAAACACCTCTTAACATGACTGCGGAAAAAAGCCTTAGGCATTGACAACAGATCGTTGAAACAAAGGGCCCGACATCCTCTTTTGCTGTTTGATTCCTTTAAGGGTTCCTTGACGGATTCCTTTTAAGTGTTTAGGGTATAAGGGTCCATGTATACAAATAGTAATTACAGTAGAAGTCCGAAGTAGAAAACCCAATAGCCTCAATCCTTTAGAGTGATGTATATTCCAGCACTAGTTGTCCTTAATCGGGTTTCCAACTTGTTGGGGTTTACCATAAGACATACCTATAGTCTCCATTATATGTTCCTGTTTTGGGTTTTACCAGTTTGGATTCAGGACCCTAAAGGCTAACCCAAGGAACTACATGGAGACAATAGGGAGGGCTGCAGCTTTTGATGATGTATGACCATCTGATGTTTTGCACGGTTGTGGAACACGCCAAGCCGCAAATAGAACACACCCTAGAAGACTCAACACAACATGGAACCACCTGCACCTTGCACGCATGGAATTCAAAGCTTACTGGAGGCGCCACAGCAGTCTCTCGGCAACTTGCGTCCAAAATATCGAATTTGTCTCGCATTCCTCCGGCTCTCCTGAAGAAGCAAACGCTGCAAAGAACCCAAAGCCGACATTGGGTTTTTTTTTGCGCTGTGGGCTCTGTCTATTGGCAAAGTGTCTAAGTGGGGGTTTCCGACAATAAGGGACCCCAATATAGTGCCCTAAATAATAGGATCCTTATTATAAGGACCCCAAAATGAGGTACCCCTAATTGTCGGAAACTCCCAAGTCTACTTCCATGACCATCGTCTCGACACGCCTGATTGTATCGTGCGGTCCTTCAGAGCCCCTAGAGGCTTCAAAACGATGAGTCCCCTGAGCTTAAAAGTTCTTCTTGACTCGTCCCAACAGCCCTGATCCCTCAACACTATAAGCCTTAAAGCCCTAAACCCTAAATCCCTAAACCCTAAAACCCCTAAAACAGTAAATCCCAAACCGCTGAATCCTAACCTTCACAGTGGTGTGTGCGGAGGAGGTGAGAGCACAAGAGTCCACAAAATCGACAGAGGCCGAGGCTTGAAGAGTTGCTAGGGTTCACGGTTTAGGGTTCAGGGTCTAGGGTTTGGAACTTGGGCTTAAGGGTTAAGGGTTTAGGGTTTAATTAGGATTTATGGTTTTCGGGTTTAGGGTTTAAGGTTTTCAGGTTGGTTTACGGCTGGGGTCGGGCTTTAAGTCTTTGTTTCAGCTGAGCCGACCCTTTTCGTGTCTGCCATTACGGGCTCTCAGCTAGCAAGGGTTTAGATTTGAGAGCTCAGGATTTTAGGACGAACGGTCAAGTTTAGGGGGATTGTGTTTTAGAGACAAGATGCCACAGTGAGATGCTGTACATGTTGCAAGACTCTAAAACCCTAACAGGCCTTGCGGGCTCTGGGTTCGGGGTTGGCGTTAGGAAATTTAGATCAGCCTGTGCCGTTTGAGTAGTGTGCGATCTTGAGCCGCTAACTGAAGACTCTCTTTCTGTGCCGTGCATGGTTCGTGGGGCCTTGTGCCAGTAATGCTTCGGGCTTAGGATTGAGGGTGTGACCGCTGTAACCCCGTCTGGAGGTTCAGGCCTGGTTGGACGTAAGACATAGCCTAACTATCCACATAGGGACTATGTTTAAGGCCCATGTATATACTATCTGGGCAATCACATGGACCCGTAGGGTCGTCATAAGGATGCAGCCAGAAAACCGCAAACCCTAAACCCTCTTGGAGGGGCAGGGGACTTAGTAAGTAGGTTATAAGTAGAAATATGAGCACCCTAAATGGAGTTACCCCAATTATAACCCGATTTATAACCTACTTACTCAGTCCCCTGCCCTTCCAAGCTGCCGGAAGCGCAAGGGGGCACAGAGGACCAGGGTTTTGGTCAGGGGCTTGGATTCGAAGCTTGGGTTTGGGGTTAAGGAGTTTGGGATTTACCAGGACTCCCCCCCGTCAAGTGTCCTTCAGTGGAGCCCTTTTGGTACTTAGTAGTGGGTATTTAATGTATTTTAGAGGGCAGTTGGGGGGTGGAGGTAGGGTTTAGAGTTTAGGGGTTTAGAGTTTGGGGACTTGGGGTAGGTTTCGGAAAGGCACACCCACGAGCGAATTGGAGGAAAACTGTGCGCTGGGAAAGACCCTGCGCTGCAAGGCAGCTTTGGGATTCGGGATGAGCAATACCTTAACCCACAAGAACCTACCTTTTTGTAGGGTACCTATAAATTCCATATTCGGGCTTATACTAAGAACCTACAAAAATGTAGGGTGTGGGAGGTTAAGGTATAGGTAGACCCTGAAACCCTACAAAGCCTAATATTATATCAGCCCTAAAACCTGCACGCTAAGACAAAACCCTGCCACACACAAGCACAGCATGGCCTTCGCGGTCATTGGAAGTGCACCGAAACCACCAACACCGGAAACCTAGGACATCCTAGAACAAACAAGTCCTTTTGACCATAAAGAAAATGAGCCCCCTAGTTCCCCTTTCAACCCTACCCCTTACATCACCAGGGCCCTCCCCAGTGTATGAAGCCGTTCACGGTCAGCCTTTGTATGGCATTCCCGTGAAGGACAAGAATTTGCCAATGCCAGTGTTCTCCCAGGCATGTCTGGAAGAGCGAAAACTGTGCACCACAAGTGGTGCGAGGACTTGCGGAATCCGGCCAGGGACCAAGTACCCGAATGTTATTAGGGTGTATGTCCCGTGTAAGCCTTCAAGCGTTACTACATATATAGCATGCCATACTAGACAATAGACTTTACCGTGCTGCGCTGCACGGCGCTATACTGTACGACATATCAAGACTAGACTGCAAGAGAGTAGATTAGACCAAACTATGCCAGACTAGTCTAGACTATACTATTAACTGAACCCCAGACCCTAAACCCTCGACTAAGCCATACTGAAACGGCTCGACTCCGGGCTCACGGTCCAGGTCTCTCAGGGTTGGAACACAGTAGACTACCTAGAAGCTGAAGACATCCGGAAACGGGACCGGCTTGGGGCCTTTAAGGTTTAGGGAAGAGTGGGATCCTTGTTGTTGCAAGGCATAGTATAGTAGCCGTTGGGAAACTTCCAGAAATCGAGACTCTCATAGACTAGGGCTTCAGGGTTCAGGGTAATTAGTAGTAGGATCCCTCCGGCTCTACTCCTTATTGCAAAATCTGCTTTTGTACAGACGGTCCCCGAGTTTTGAGAAACCCGCCTTTGCGCCACAGCTCCATGTCCCTGACATTCGTCGGTCGGGTCTCTCCCTCTTACTCAGTGATACTCGCCCGATGAGGACATGGCACCAACACATCTGCTTGCCTACTTCATGGTCACAAGAGACGGTGAGGGCATTGTCTAGAAAGGCTTTAATTAATACAGACTGAACATGACATATCAACTGCCGCAGCCGGGGTTGGAATGTTGATTCCTGGATGGGACCGAAACACAGAAAGCTTATCTTGATAGATGCTTAAAGAACATGTAGCAGAATTCAAAGCCCCAATCCGCAACTGAAGCCGTCAGCCGTCGGCCAGGCGAAAAGGAAAGACATGCATCGTTGAGGTACTTGGGCCCTGAAACAGTATAGGCAGGAATTGAGAACGGTGTTCTTTCTTCTTGCCTTTCAAATATTCCTTGTCGCAACATGCAAACAGCGTTCCAGCTCTGCGGACAACGCCATTGGTGTTCCAGCGTTTCAGCCGGAAAAAAGCGCTAGGTTTCTTGGGATTAGGCATCGGGGTTTGTTTAGGGTTTAGGGATGTTCAGGGTTCCTAAGCTGCATGGGCAAGGGACAGTCCAGACCCCAAACCCAGGCCCAAAACACCTAATCGTTTGAACCCAGGACCATCAAACATAAAACCCGAAGGGACTAGAATTCAAGGTGTTGCAGGGTTTAGCAGCCACGGGGTTTAGGTGGCTGAGGGCCAAAGACTTCAAGGGTTGAGGCTTTGGGGCTTATAGACCCCCTAGACTCCAAACATCCCAATACCCGAAACCCTGAAACCCTGCCTTCGACCCCAAGCCCTAGCTTAGGGTTTAGGGCTTAACGGCAATGCACATATATATATATATATATATATATATATGTGTGTGTATGTGTATATATATATATATATGTATATGTACATATATATATATATATATATATATATACATAGTATATACATATCTATATGTATATATTCGAGATGTACACATGCATCTATGTATTATTGCAAAAACGCATGTTACATGTACACAATCATAAACTTCTACTTCTAAATGTATATGCAAGTTTGTGTTATGTACCTGTGCTCTTTCACATCAGCGTTTGTGTATCTGTATACCAAGAGGTTTAGGAGCCTGTGCCTTCACCTCAGAGCGTCACCGCAGAGGTCTCAACCTGCCGGCGCAGAAACAAGGCGAGCCAGCAGCTGTAGCCCAGTCCTGACTGGAAGCACTGGCTTCGTGAGGCTTACGGTTTAGGGTTTAGGGCTTAGGGTTCGCAGGGTTTACGGCGGACGGTTTGAGGTTTAGTCCGGACTGGAATCAAGTCTCACAAATTGGTTTCGGCTTTAGGGTTTAGACGGCTTAGGATATTGTTTCTCTTTGAGCTGTTCACGTGAGTTTAAAGACGGTTTGGGAAAGAATTGCAAATTCACTTGCAAGAGTGAATCTCTGCTATGCCAGACGGAGGACATTGGCAACTTCAGCCAGGGTTCACGATTCCAAGGCTTGGCTTAAAGCTATACTGTTGAGGCTTTTCGGGATTACACCCGGTCAGTTATGAGGCCGCAAAGTTCCAGAGTCCATCGGCAGTTTGCTGAGAAAAAACCATCCCTGCAACCCTAAGCCCTGTGTTGTTTTGTTAGCCCTATGGTTGTAGGGGTTTGGGGTTTAGGATAATCCTTCACCGAAAACTTGCCAGGTTGGCGCTTCCCAACAGTTCGCCAAGATGCCCAGGCAGAGATGGAAGAGCATGAAGCCCGCCATCATCCTCAGCATTTCCCCCGTTTAGGGTTTACCTAGACCCTCAGAAGGAGGTAAAATAATGGCCCAGCACCTGTAAAAGGCCATTTTTATACATACTTTTTGGGGTCCAGGTAGGGGTTTAGGGTTGGCAACAATGTTAATTCAAACAGGTAGATAGGGCTCGTTACCAATTGGTGTAGATCCTCAACCATAAACCCTACCTGAACCGCATTTTAGGGACTCATATAAGGAAATCATAAACAGGCACCCTAACAAACTAGGTTTATCCAGGTACTAAACCCAAGGCAGAGCCGCCGGAAACACGAGGCATTCCGCCCAATAGAAGTCTTTGGGCTCGGGATTCCCAGAGATCCCAATAGCCAATACCCCTTAAGTGAGGAATATACCTGAATCTACTTACTAAGCCACCTATAGTTTAAGTTATATTCCTTAACTAAGGGACATTGGGCTGAGTTGCCCCCAAACCCTCTTGTTGATGCCTGTATACTACGATTCTCCAAATAATGTATGTTATACTATAACCCGCCCATTAAATGGCCAAACTTCTATATACTACGAACTATGAGCCGTCGGGAAAGGAGGGAGATTCTCCAAGACTTCTGTATAAAATACTCTGAGCCGAAAGTAAGGAGGGGTTCATATGAGCTGTTCCCTGGATTACAGACCCGAAACAAAGCTCAAAACCTGACTGAGGACTCAGAAAGTTTAAGGGTGTGGCTCAGCGGCTCAGACAGGTCTATATACTAGGAAGAACTGTCAGTTAGAGTTTAGAGTTTACGTTTCAGAGATTAGGCCCAGGGTTCAGGATATGCTTACAGAAAGGCCGAAGAACCCCAAACGCTAAACCCTCACCTGCTTGCTTGTACAAGTGCCAGCATGCGCTATTAGTTGGATACTGCCCCCACTCAGTAACAGTTGAAGTTCGATCTATGTATAAGGCCCTGGATCGAGGCCCTGTAGACTTCTACTGTATGGAGCAGTACCTGAGCAGTACCTAAGCTATTGGCTATGGCCGATGGGCCCAATCCTGCTCGGCTCCTAGTTATATGGAAGGTACCTGAGATGATGTAGTTGAGGCTCAATATGTGTAGCTCTTTAAATTAGGGTCCATCAAAGGATCTATCGTGGGGACCTAGAAAGTGACCTTATTTCAGAGAAATGCTCTTGTAGGTGCCTGGATACTTCGAGCAGGACTGCATGAGCAAGGCAACTATTCAGTTTACTGGGAGACTTGGTGGATCCGGTTCCTGGAGCGAGTACCAGCTTGTCCTGTAGCTGCTGCACCCCGAAACACTCTCAGGCTATGGGCTTTCCAGCAACATGTCTGTAAAGCCTGAACCGAAGCCCCAACAAAGCCGGCCGGCAGGGACAAGGTGATGGCAACGGCATCCACGTAGTCCATCTGGAAAACCCACTCACCGAGCCCATAGTTAGCCTGCAGACAAGGCATCACGCAATCAAACCAAGAGTCATTCGGATCTAGCAGTCAGCATGCAGTGTGCTTTTGAAGGTTGGCTTTTGTATAGACACATGCATCAATGCACCGCGAAAACCATACCAGCACCCCGCGTGTAAGTCCAGATACCAAGAGAGCACAGAAGTTGATCCATTCAAGCTGCAGTGACAAATCCCAGACGAAACCTAACGTGTGGGTAACTAGGTCTATCAGGTGTCTTGCTGCTGTACAGATCATCACACTTGTGCTTCATCCGATAAAGATGGGAATATGGTGACTCTCAGCGTGTTCGGTGGGACTAGCATTTTGGCTCTGAGTGACCATTGCTAATCATTACTGTAAGCAGCCTTGTCATTGAGTTAAGTTTTCGGTGTGGAGTTGTTGTAGAACTACTATCCCCCAACAAGACTCTTTGCAGCCCTATAAAAAGCCCATCCGACACACGATACTAAACCCTGGACCCTAACTCATGCCAAAAACTGCGCTTCAAGCGCTGCGGATTCGGGAGCAGGGCCAGCTACTAAATGGACGGATCCTACTATTTATCTGTTGAGCCGTCCGTGTGCGTGTGGGCAAGTTGGGCGAGATCGTCAGATATATAGAGACTTTGTCTGAATGTCCAGTTGCATACATGCAGGCAGTTTGATCTTCCGAGTACGAGGGCAATGAACACCGTGAACCCTAGATCCTGAGCCCTAAACTCCAAACCCTAAAAGGATTGCACATTACCAGGGGAGCAGGGGAGTTAGTCCTTGACCCTAAACCCTGAACCCTAAACCCCTGAACCCCAAGCCCTAAACCCTAAACCCTAAACCCCTGAACCCCAAGCCCTAAACCCTAAACCCTAAACCTAAACCCACTATATCGAAACACGTTGGGAGCCAGGAAGCCGCCAGCCAGAGTGGCAGCAAAATCCGGCGGCTCCACAAGCGGATCTCCCTGGCGTACTGCCGCTGGCACTCCTCACCTGGCAGCTGCGTTTAAGCAATTTCCCTACAATGGTCCAAGTACCTTATACTCATATACTCTCCCAAATAATATCGTCCATAACTACTATCCGAAACCTAAGTACCACCTGGCAGCTGTTTACTTGGAGAACTCATATGTAGTTATAGCTGGGGTACGAAGTAGGGTAACTATAGTGACTATAGTTGTAACCCATATTACGGGACTTGTAACTCCACTCATAACTACCCAGAAACCTCCAAGTAGGGTTTAGGGACTTTACCTCTGAGGCCAGAACACTTGTCAACACTACGGTTGATGATATACATCCTGCATTACCTCAAGGACCCTAAACTATAGGAATTATGGTATATTCTTTGTTATGGGTAATGCAGGATTCATATCATCAACCGTATCAGTATTGCTAAGGGCCACGGCAGTGCCGTATAATAAGTAAGAGGTAAATGACATGAACCAGTTAATCAATGCATGCGTCATTTATATGGCTAGCCAAATACTACGGAAGATAAATCCTTAAACACCCCTGCACGTTATAGTTATATGCGATACTAATCAAGGCGATGCCGCGAATAAAGGGGCCGTAACAATAAATAGAATAATTATAGGGTCTTGGGGTATATTACGACTCTCAAAGAACCGGGCTTCTTGCTTGGAGTTTTGGGTGCAAGGGTTGCAGGGTCTTCGAGATCAGGGTTTTTCGGTCTAGCGTCTGGGGCTTCAGCTCCAACTGAAAATGGGCTCGCTTTCAGCATGAACACGTCTCTCTCGTCCCTCTCCAGATTCAGCAGACATGCTTAGTAGAACACAAAAAAGTAAAACACAAATGGGAAAACACCGGCCTGTCTCAGACTCCATCTTCTGACTGATGCAGAAGCACCGCCGCTGCTGGCTTTTCGAAGCCTCCGAAGGACTTCTTTGTAAGGCTTACCTCGACCTTGAAACTGGATGACCCTAGGATGTGCTGGAGTAAAAAAGTAAGGTATCAAAAGAGGAAGTGCTAATAACGCTCTGGGCAGCGTCATTTGTTCCAGATCGGACTCTGGTATGATAGAACCTGAGATCCTGCGAACTCAGACTTAAGACTCTGACATCTGCAGAATGTTGACGACGTCTTCCCAGTTTTATCTGCAAGTGACCCTTTGTCTATGTTCATCCAATAAGGAAGTTGGTTCCTTAACAGACACATCAGTCAACCAAAATTATCAGGCGTAGCCGGTCCCACCTTAACCTGATAGAACCTCTGTGTAGTATGAATCCGCTATAGTAGAAGCCAGAAAGTTGGAATATGGTTTCTGGGTAGGATACCTTATAATTTACCACAAAGGCTTTAGGATAACCATATTCCAACTTTCTGGCTTTTACTGTATGCACCCAGCAGGGGAGTTTTGCTCCAAACTGTCGTTACAATGCCTTCTTATGATAAGAGTCCAGGGCTTAGCACCTTCTGGCCAAGAAAGCCTGAGATGCATCCGGAGACGGGGGAGCATGGATATTATACGTCAAGTATTTGGGTCCAGAGATGTGGGGCTGGCTTCTTCTGGCTTCTGCACGAAACTTCCTGCGATACGCGCGCTTTTTCGTGGATAGTAGCATGCCGGGCCTTGCCACGCGTTCCCCACTTGGCCCCCAAGCCGTCAGCGTTGGCCTCCAGTGCCGGAGCTTGGGGCTAAGGATTCCTACCCAGACCTTCCAAAATCCTTTAATTAGGGAATATACCTTAAATCATATTAGGGATCCTACTATAACTTAAGGTATATTCCTTAATTAAGGGATCTTGGAAGGTCTGGGTTCCTAGTGTATAATACCCTAGGGATCAAAATAGCCCAAAAGCCTTACATAGTATGGTATGGTCTTTGGGCCCAAAGACCTGAATAGATGAGTCCTTAGATCCCTAGGGATAAACGGTTTCGGGGGTTGAGGATTGGGTTTGGGTACATGGAGCGGACCTGGATCGATGAGGGCCAAATTAGCACATCAGGTGCATCGCATTCGATGCGTCAGGCCCAATTAGGCATAAGCTAAGATCTCGGCTCAACTGGTACAATATCTACATCACTACTGTCTCGCCGAAACCCCGAGACTTCATCCCTAGATCTTGAGTCCTCAACCCTACATAAATCTTTACATCTCAAACAAAAGACCCAATTAAATCGAATTGCCCAGGTCAGGTCGTAGCAGTTGCAGGTTGAGAAATCCAAAGTGCCAATCGAGGCACGAAGTTTCCGCGTTTAAGTGCTTGGGTTCAGGCTCAAGAAGCACCGCGAGAACCTCTCGTGCTGCGTTGGGCATGCAAGTTCGCGTTTCCGGGGACGGCATGAATTTCCTCCTACCATAGAGCTCTTGAACCCGCACAGGGGGATCCCAAACCTTCACGCCACAAAGCCCGAACACCCCACGAGAATTCCCAAGACTCGTTTAGTTTAGGAGTGTTAGGATAAACCCTCAACCGACACCCTGAATGAGAGGCCCTAAACCCTGAAAACTTAATCTCAAGGCCCTGTAAGCCCTAAAATCTAAGCCCAAAGCCTTAGATGAACCTTTAGCCAAGTGGCCACAGCCACGATGGGCTGCTGCAGATTCTCAATGAAGGTCGTGAGGGGCACCTCAAACGCAAGGTCCAAAGGAACTATTAATAGTTAGGCACTTAAGAATATCTGGGAGTTTTAGGATTCATGTAGGGGCCTACAGGACCCCATCATCAGGTACTTGGGCTCAAGAAAATAGTTTGTAGGTCAATAGTTGATAGGGTGCATGATTATTAAGTACTTGGACTGTGGGAGTTTGGGAGAGATGGACTGCATTGGAGAGATGCTCAGAATGCGAAGTACACTGCTGATGAGGGGTTGGGCAATTGCATGCTGTTCATGAGCACCTGAAAGTTAGCAACGCCTAGGTTAATGCTGACGGTGAGCACTGTACAGCACATGATCATGGCCATGATGATGACAATGCCCCGGCTGATGACGATAACAAAGGCGATGAGAGTAACGTGCTGGTGACTCTGGGAAGTGGCGATATGTTGTTGAAATGTTTAGTGTTGATGTCGTTGTTGCTGACCCTAGACCCCATGCACCACAACATTGAAACCCTGAACCTGAATCCCAACACACAACCCAAGCGTTGTCAACGTCGTAGCTCCCCCGAAGCTCTGACCGATTTCTACAAACACTTCTTGGCACCACAAAACTCCTCCTGTAGCTCTATCCGGGGCACCACGAATATCAGCAGTCCGGCCCACATCCTTCGCAGGCCATGCGGGGCCTGCGCTGCCATCATCAGGGCGCAAACACCTCGGAAGGCAGCGGGCGGAAGCCCATTGCCGGAGTGCAGCTCTCTGCGTCGACACATCTGCTACATGTCCTCAAACCCCCAAATGGATCCCGAAGTCCCAAAACACCCCAAATGGCGTGGGTTCAGACAATTACACTGATGTAGTATGTACTCTAAGTAGCGTCCTCAGCAAGAAACATCTAAAGACAATGCTTTTAAATCATCCAAGAGCCACCCAAAAATCGGTGTCGACACTACGACCAGAAACCAAGAGGAGGTGGTTGCACAAAAGGACAGATCCCCCCGACAAAAAAACACAAACAAAAACGATGTCTGGCTTCAATGAGGCCATTTCACCCCTAGTGGTGGCTCTGGCTCGTAGATGTAGGGTTTAGAGCCTTAGGTCACTGCAACCCCTAACCCCTAAACCTAGGACTTCAGATCACTCCAAGGCATCCAGAGTGGCCCTAAACCCTAAAACCCCTAAACCCCTAAACCCTGAACCCTAAAACCCCTAAACCCTGAACCCTAAACCCCTAAACCCCTAAGCCCTAAACCCCTGAAACCCTGAAAACCCTACCAAGGCGCCCAGTGTGGAGCTCCAGAAGAGAGGATTCTTCCAGGCGCCGTAGCCCGCCAGGAGCACTGCCATCTGCAAAGCTCCCAGGAGCATGAAGAAGGCCGTACCTGTGGCTTAGGGTTTAGGGTTTAGGGAGCATGAAGAAGGCCGTTCCTGTGGCTTAGGGTTGTTTAGGGTCTAGGGTTTTTTTTGTATTTGAGGGTTTAGGGTTTAAGGCTTTTTTTGATGGTGTAGGGTTTATTTAGACATAGGATTTGTTGAGGGTTTAGGGCTTTTAGGGCTTATGGGGTTTCTAGGGCTCATATAGGGTTTTGAGGGGTTTAGGGTTTAGGGGGCTGCTGGGAGGGTCGAGGGACTTAGGAAGAAGCTATTCTATGGAGTCAAAAATACCATAACCCCAAGTAGGAACCCACTTAGGGCACTTATAACTGTACCTATCACCTGCGTACTAAGTCCCATGCCTCCCTTATAGATCCATCTCCGAAGTTCACCCTTAACAACCAACCTTCTCGTTGAAAACCCTACAGCCCCGAACCTGCAACACACAACACCTAACCCTGGACGCATAAAAAACTACATCGTGAGCTCTGGGGGTCGAAAACACACCTCTATGGTACAGTCCAGGGCAGGTGTAGACAGAGTTTCCAGTTGCACCCTTTGCAGTCCTAAAACCTTAGGCCCCTGAACCCCCCATCTCAAACCCTAAGTCTCAAACCCTAATCTCGAACCCTAAACTCCAATCCCTAACCTTTCGAATTCCTAAACCCTGAACCCCGAAAAAATCCCACGGAAAGCCTTAAACCCTAACCCCCCAAAGAAAAACACAGAAATGCCCACGAGCCTGCTGTGTGAAGCCACCGCCGCTGGGACACCGAGCAGCCCGCAGAGGCAAGGGCATAGAACGTCAAGACGACCCTGTCTTCCCGGAGACTGCAATATCCCTTAATGAAGGAATACCCAGAGGCCCCATAGTAGTTCCTTGTGGGGATTACCTCATAAGATTCTAAATATGAACCCCCAAAAAGGAACTACTATGGGGACTCTGGGTATAGCTTAAATCGTATTAGGATTCCCTCCTATGGTTTAAGGTATATTGGATATTGTAGTCCCTATCTTCTTTCGTGTTGGCTCTAGGGGTGTATGGGGTCTAGGGTTTAATCTAGGGTTCAGGGTCTGCGGTTCCTTCCTTCGTGGTTTACTTTTGCGATTGTGGGCTTAGGGTTTATAGGGCTTATAGGGTTTATTTTAGGGTTTGGGGTTTACGGTTTGATTTAGGGGCTCAGGACGACCCTGTTTTACTTAGAGTGTCTAAGAAGGAAACTGTAAGGACCACCCCAAGGCCTTGAATGGAGCCCTTTATGGCCCCCTCGATAGGGCATATCAATTAACGGGTAGACAGGGCAGTTCGGGGGTCCAGGTATAAGAACCCTGTCTTACTTAGATAAAGGGAACTACAAGGACGACTCTAAGGGTTCTACAAGGTCAGTGTGGGGTTAAGCGTTTAGGTTTACACTGTCTTATAAAGTGTTGACGACAAGGGTTAATAAGGCTTAGGGTTAAGGGCTTAGGGTTTATAGTGATCCAACCGGTGGCTCACCAAACTCCAATCAACATAGGTCGGAAGTGAAACCCTCATGGCCGGATATTCCTAAGCTCCAGAAGTGTTCACCACGCCTGTGTACACCTCGAAGCAACTTGCTGTCGGAAGCGGCCCGCTCAGGGCTGTTGCGGTGGTGGTTGGCAGCAGTCCGACAGCCCTCTGTGTCATTCTTGTACACGGAGCGTCCCAAGCTTGAGGATCGACTAAGTGATGAAGGGTGCCAGTGCCGGCACCATCAACCAAAACGCCTGCTACCGTGCCCAGCAAGGAGAACACGACGAGCCTGTCACGAAGTTCCACAGGTCGTCTGCCAGTCGTCTGCTTCCTTCGCCTAAAGGCACAGCATGCACTGTACTTATGCCGTCAATGGCGTGTCTCACATTTGGTCGCCACATTGCAAACTGCTACATGACCTGAGCAGAATTGTGGACCCAGAAAACAGCAGTATCATGGTTGCGCTGATCCCCGATGCTGCCTGCGGATCGTATCGCCAATGTGGCTGCGTCGTCCAGTACGAAACTGGCAACACGGACATCGTCGGTAAGAAACACTGCGACGGTGGCCAGCGGACTCCGGATGACCCGCTGCATGGGGTTTAGGGTTTAGTGTTTAGGGGGGTTGCATTAGATAAGGCTTTGGGAAAGGATTTCTGCAGCATACCCTGAACCTCCAAAGCCTCTCAAGCAAGCATAGCCGGACCCTGATATTGTTCCAACACACTATAGAAAGCTGAGTAGTTGCTGGAACAATCCAACAGACCACATACAAAAATCTTAACATATCTTAACCCAAGGGCTCGGACTGGTAAACCATTTCCAGCAATACTTGATGAAACCCTTCGAAAGAACCCCAACAAGGAACCTTGATAGTAGCCCTCAGCCCTACTTTAAAAAGACGAGCCACGCACCTTGGCATTACGAATCCCAGAATGGTATATGGACCATAAACCTTTCAGGGTTCATTTTGTCTTTAAGATACCTCAAACCCTCAAACCCTCACCCCCAAAATTCTACAACCTATGGTCTCTCTATAGAGCCCTGAAAGGAAATAGTCCTCTTATGGAAGCCCAGCCCTTGACCTTTAACATAGGGGTCTTATAATCACCTATACTGTGCGTTCTTGTAGTTGTAATGCTAAATAAAACCAAAAACCCTATTCTAGTATTAAGGCCCCTAGATTCGCCCAGGCGCCAAAGCAGGGAGTGGATCAAGGCCGGGAGGCTCTGGCGCGCTGGGGTCCTCCGATCTGGGGGATCTTCGCTCAATAAGTGCTTCTGTTGATGATCCTGCATCATACGGTTCCTTTAAAGGGATCTATAAGGGTACCTCTAAGGAGTTCTTTCAAGGGAACAAGTGCGAAACTGCTGCATGCCATATGCCCGAGCGGAAGCTTGGGATCTGACTTCCCAGACGGACATGGGAGTTTCCGAAAATAGGGGACCCTAATATAGTACCCTAAATAGTAGGATCCGTACTACAAGGACCCCAAAATGAGGCACCCCCAATTATCGGAAACTCCCACATCGGGTCCTGCATGTCTCGTTCTACGATGCCTTGGCATGCTTTCGGACTGCAGGGGTCTATAGGGTTTACCTCAACCCACCAAATCCTACTCTTTTTGTACGGTCCCTACGAACTCCATATTATTAGGGTTTATAAAATGGGAACCCACAAAAAAAGGAAGGCTTGGTAGTTTAAGGTAGGTTTAGGGTTGGAGGTTTCGGGGGGTTAGAGACAGCGCCTCGCATCCAGCTGCAGGGCCCTATCCAGAGAGCTACCAAGAGCAGTCATAGCGTTCTTTCCAATCTTTCAGCAAGAGCCTGGGTCTGTTCATAACCCAGAAACCGAGGGTCAATGGCGCTAAACAGCCTCAAACAGCACAGTATACCCTAAACCCCAAACCCCCTCAACCCTAAACCCCCATACCCCTTAACCCCAAACTCTTGAAGCGGCTGTCCCCAGGGAGCTCCAAGGGAAGGGAGAGCAGGTCATTTCCTCTCGGAATGGTCGGCTGTGGAGGCTCAATTACAAGGATAAAGATATAAGGGCTGGGTTGGGAGTTAGCGTTTAGGCTTCAAGTTAAGGATTCAGCGCGTGAAAATATTCTGCTAGAATCCTAGCCTGTACGTATACTTGATAACTTAGGCAATACTTCGACACTTAGTATCCTAGCCTGCAAAAACTAACCTTTTCAACTCTGGCAGGATTGTGTGAACCCCAAAGGGTTGATGAAGGTTACCTACTCAGCTAGTATAAGAATACAAGCTCCTCAGCAAGGCCCCAGTTTCAGCTCCTTGGGAATGGGGGCGAGGTGCTGGCCCAGCGGTTGGAAAGGGCTCAGTGGCGTGTAGGGTCAAGTCAAACCTAAACCCCAAGAATTTGAGGGTGCCTGGACTGGTGTTATGAATTTTTGAAGATGAGGGTGCAGGTTTAGGGGCAAAGGCGTATGCCGTGTGGGCTTAACGCAGATGCTAGAGGCTGGCTGCCAAAAATATGAGAATGTATCGCCTTCGGCGTGGGGCCAAGGATTGAGGGTGCTGAGGGGAAGGATGTTGCAGTGGTGCTATCAGGGTCTTTCCCATATTGAAAGGACCCCTGTTACGCTTCTTTGCATACCCAGGCCCGAAACCTATAAACCACAGGCCTGGAACCAACGCGGGATCCGGAAGTGTCTGTTAACCCCAGTGAAAGCTTTGGGTCTCCTCAAGACTTGCTGCCTATGAAATAGGGGACCCTGTCATAGTACCCTGCATAGTAGGATCCTTATTAAAAGGACCCCCAATTATCGGAAACTCCCATAATGCCCTGAACTCCAATCCCGCCGGACGGGTAATGAACAATGACAAGCGAAAATGCAGTCAGCATCCCGACAGCACGCTCACTGAATCTACTACATCTGGACTAAAACCATGGATGCTGTGCATATAGCATGGAGCAACCACGACAATGTACTGTGACGGGTGCAGGCCACCGCTTGTTATTGCTAGAAGCTGTGGTTGCCGGGTGCGTTGTATTTTACAACTTTTCGGTTATCGGATTGGTCGTTTCATCGTAGTCATGGAGGCTTGCTAGGTACACAACCACCGGCCTCCCTCCGCTTTCCCACACACACGCACACCCACGCACACACGCACGCTCGCACGCACACGCACGGACGCACACGTACGCACACACACACACACACACATCCTCGAATTCCTGAGGAAAGCCTGAGTCTGACCCGGGCAAACCCAATGACTCCCCCCATCCACATTTTGATAAACCCTGCTTTCCGATCCCTTACTCCTGCACTGAGCCGGTATCCGCTAAAAGCCCTAAACCCCTAAATCCCCTATATGCTCCGAACCCTAAAAAGCCCTACATAAACACCGGGAATCCCTGCCCCTACCTAGACCCCCCCAAGCTACCCTCTAATATACCTTAAAAACCCACTATTAAGCACCATAAGGGCTCTATTAAAGGGTACCTGGAGGGTCCTAGTAAAACCCAAACCTCAAGCCATATGGATCCAAGGTCCTCAATCTCCAAGAAACGCTCCAGAAAGCGGCCCGTCAGAAAGGAGAACCACAACCTCTCAGAGTCAGACTCTGAGATTAAGGCGAGGTTTAGGCTTTAAGACCTGGGGTAAGGGCTTTAGAGTTGTTTGTACCCTAAGGCTCCCAAAAGGGGTCAAAGGCTTTCTGGGGGGAGGGTTACCAGGGTCCAGGAGCCTTAAGGTAGAGTGCAAGATTTGTGCCATCCGCAAGGCAGGAGTTCAAGATGAAAGCTTATCCAGATCAATAGCGGGCAGCTTCCACAACACAGAAGTCTGCATATTCACCATTGATTCGGGGTCATGCCCCGTTCTTCAAGTCATGCGATAGCCATCCGAAACCTTTATCTTGCTTGTTTGAAAAGGGCGGGGGAAGGAGCGTGGAGGTTGGCAAGGGCTTGGCGATAACTGTCCGCGGGGCAGACGAATCAGGCTCTGAAGAGGGACTACTTGGATGATCATGGGACTTAGATAAGTAAGGGTACCAGTCCCTCAACTGGGGTTATAAGTAAAGTTACCCGAACTATAACCCAGTTACTAAGTCCCATGAACCTTCAAAGCACAGCAGGACCCAGAAGGAGGGCACCCCTAGTCGTAAGAGCCCGCTTCTTGGCGCCTTGTTTAGAAGGCCGCTCCTGACCCGAGGCTAAGGGTCCAGGTGCCCAACTAGTGTATGTATATACATACGTATATATATATATATATATATATATATATTGTTATATTATGCTTTACTATTTTATATTACATTATATGATATGACATGATATGATACTATATAATTATACTATACTATATTATACTACAATATTATATATATATATATATATATATTGGCCCCAATGTACCTAAATAGGGACTACTTCAGGGCCAAAGTATATACCATTTTGGGTACATGGACCCTTAGGGAAACTGCAGGGCTGCCAGGACTTTTAGAGTCTGGGATTAGCGTGTGGTGCTTTACGGTGCAGCACGAGCTTAGTGTTGTCCGTCTACTACGGGAATTTGTCTGCCGATGATCCTATAACCGCTGTGGTCACTCTTGAACCTGAGACGGAAAGCTAGGACAAAATTACTTAAGATTAACAGGTGCGGGTGTTGATTCACGAGTTCCCTTGGCTCGAGCATTAATCCGGGGAGCGTCAGCGTGGCCGGGGCCAGGAACGGTGTCCAAAGGAAGGACGCGACCTAACAAATCAAGGATAGGATACCCGAACAACATGCAGCCTTCATCCCCCATTCACGGCTTTGAGTTGATTTGGTGTTGATCGACACTGGTCTTGGAGCCAAAAAGAATCCACACCATGTACACCTACATATGCATGCGTATGTGCATGTATGCATGCAACGTGTGCATTGCATGTGCTTATGTAAGTGGGTATGTATGCAATGAATGCTTAAGTAAAGTCATGAATGTTTGAACATATGTATGCATGTATAAAGGTATGTACGCATGCATGCATGTGAGCGGGGCATATATCAAGGTAGCCTACGAAGACTCCGCGGAACCCATCACTTCACTATGTATGTATGGTGTAGGGTTTTAATTTCTGGTGTCCCCATATGAAACCCAGAACATGAACTCACCAGTATGCAACAGAAATCCAATAACCAACGCCAAACCGCTTAATATCAACCCTCGTTCACCTACTCTACATCCAGAGACCTTAGACGGCCCTCAGCAATGGTAAAGCTTCTGCGATTTGGGGTCTGTGCTCGATTGGGCGTCCGAGCTTTCGGGAATTCTCCAATCTTCAGCGAAGGCACGTAAGCCTTATTAAGTCCGTATTATAGGCATTGAGGCCCCCTACCCCCCTCCCCCCTACCCCCCTAAGGGTCCTTGTGATTCAGCGAAGGCACGCAGATGGGTTTCAGTGCTTTCGGGTTTTTCACTGAAGCCTTTGAGGAATCCTACGATCATTTAAGGAACACATGCCTTAAATCTAAGGATCCCTCACAGGAGCCCAGGCACGTAGATGGGCCAGAATACCCAACGGGTCGGCTTCCAGAGCCAGGCATTGGGCTTGTTGAAGAGCATGGTCACACGATTTCCTTTCCCCAAGGGTCCAAGCACCTAATAATCATATACTCTCCCAAATAGTAACCTACATAACTAATAACTGCTATCCGAAACCTAAGTACCTAACTATTGGGTCCTTTGGACCCTTGGGGTTTGGTGTTGAGGGTTTAGCGTATTGTCGCAGGAGTTGATTAAAAGAGGCTTAGGTGGGATATTACATCCTGTTACGCTTTATTATACCATGTTGTAGTGAACTGTTCAAACCTGCCATATGGTGCTATCCTAAACTAAGCCATACTAGACGACGCCATACTATGCGATTCTTCATATTATGCTGTACTATACTCTACGAAGCAATGACGCACAATAGTATTCTATATACTACTATATTGTATAACGCACCATATACTGCATTATTAACATAACGTATTACACATTACATGATGTTGTGCTATGTAATGATATTTTATCCTATAGCAGGCTGTCGTACATTCACGTGTTGTTATACCGCGTTATGCTCTGTAATGCTACGTTATGCTATGACACATAGTATACTAGTTTAATAGACCAAACAATCCAACGTCTTACACAGGCTTGTGGTTTGTGTGTTTTCGGGTGCAAAGGACCAAAAGATTAGGCTTCCTGTGGAGCTCTTCTCTGTTCCGAGGCCCTCAAAAGCGCTTTTAGCAGGATTGCCGCGAACCCTCACGCCTACCTGGATCCTAAAACCCTACCTTTTTCAAGGACATGCTTGCATGCACGTGCATACATATAAATAGAAATAGAAAGATAATACAATATGATATAATATACTATAATATAACTAACAATACATATATATATATATACACACATTATATATACATACACACACATACATACATACATACATACATACATACATACATACATACATACATACATACATACATTCAAACATAAATTTACATGGATGCACACAGAAAAACTTGTACCATATATATATATATATATATATATATACACACATACATACACATACTTATATTGATATATAAGCCTATATGATAGCCTATATCTATGTATATATATATATATAATGTAGATATGTATGTGAAATCAGGGAGAGCTGTGTCTTGGGGTCCAGGTAGACCCTGTAGACTCCGAGTACCCTAGCCCAAAAAAGGTTAAACTTTTGAATTAGGGTTTGAGGTTTAGGGTTTATAGTAGCAACATATAAGCCCCAAACTTGACGGTTAAGGTTTAGGGTTTAGGGGTTTAGGGTATAGGGTTAAATGCAGCGCAGCCGCAACAGATTTAAGCTGTTCAGTGGCGTTGTGTTCACGCCTTAGGCCTGGGGCTTTTGGGTTTAGGGTTTACCGAGGCACCAAGCATCTCTTGCTTGTATACAAAGCCAAAAAGCATAACTTCGTTGCCCTGTGAACAACGGCTTTGGGGTTCAGTAGAGCTTTCCGAATCCCGAGAAGCGAAAATGATTCGATTTAAGATGAGGTTGGGCAGTTCAGGAGAATCAGAAGGTTCCGTTCTTGGGTGTCTTCAATGAACTTGCAGCTGAGCAGACACACAACCCAGCGCAAAAAAACACGTTGAGCATTTCGTCCAGCCCTTGGACATAACTGCCCTGAACCTTTCTTCTCACGACCAGTGTCCCATGTGCGAGCGCTTCCACCGGCACTGTTGTGCGAGGTACTCGCTCCAGGTCTCTGGCATGAAGGATGTTGCCCAACAGTGAGGCAGAAACCTGCATGGCAGGTTTTCATGCAGACATTGGAGCTGGAGATGCGATATGGGTTAGCCGGTTAGCCCTTGTGGCCCAAGGCATAGCACGCGCTGGTTTCGATTCAGGGTACAAGGACGACATGCGATTCTGCTTCTCAACGAAGCATCCACGGAAAGACTGACCAAGACTTTTGAGACATATTTGGGGATTCATCAATTTTCAATTGCAAATTGTCCCCCTCTCTCGAAGGCCCTCAATATTAGAATCCCCACTCAAACTCTTACTAAGGGAAGCGGGTGTATTGATCAGGGCTCTACATGATGGGAAGGTGTTTAAAGTGCAGGCTTATCAATAGAGCTGCTCATGTGTGGAGTTTACTGCAGCGCATGTCTTCTGACAGCAAGGCAGCGCGTCACTATTTGACGACAACATTTCTGTTCGTCGACAAGGTTTATCAAGCGGGCTAAATCATTCTTGGCATGTCAAGGATGTGGGAATCATGAAGCGCCGGCGAGAAACCGAATGCCACCGCCGTTCCTCAGCTCCCACAGAAAGACGACTAACTCCATGGACAAAACAGGTCCTAACCCTGAATGCCAAGAGCTTGAGTTGAGAGCAGGGGCAATGAAAGGCAAGGGGCTTCTCAGTTCCGTGAGCTGTTGCAATCTTTGGGTTGGGATGAACACGGCGCCCATTGAAAGGGTTTGGCGTGTGAGGGTATCTCTTCTTCAACAACCGGGCCCCAAAAAGTTCAATCTTTCCTAAGAGCATGATTGCGATCTCGATGTCGTCACAGGGGGCCAGCACCTGGAAGCCGTAAAAGAAACACACGAAACACCAACACAAGGACCGTGCAAGCCGGCAAGCCCGAGGCTTAGGCCCTACCCAAAGGCCCCATAGTACTTTTTTGGGATTACCTTATAGGATTTCTAATTACATATGAAACCCGAAAAAGATCTACTATGGAGCCTCTGGGTAACCGCCCTAACCCAAAATGCACAGCATCCCCTACAATGTAATTCGCTTACATCGTGGGATACTGCATTGTCGGGTGAGTTCAATATTCCGGAGAGGATATGGCCCAGAGACAGTAGCCCAGTACATAAATACATATAACGATTAGAACAAAAATACATGATTACATAAATACACGAATAAACAACTAAAAGCATGTGTGTATCTACTTATATGTATATATGTTTGATACATGCAAATATTTTACGGGTATGTGCATACAATAAACGCATGCACAAAGTATGAAGACAGAGAGAGAGAGAGAGATAGAGAGAGAGAGAGAGTTATAGAGAGATATTATGTAGTCTCGGTGTATGTGGATCAAGATCGGTAAATAAGTTTCCAATTGCAGAGACTCGACTCTTCAGAAGTCAGCCTGAGACAAAAGAATCTTAAGCCGAGGGCTGCCTCCAGAGTTCTAGGCAAGTGGAAATTCTACCCAGGAGCCCTCAGCATGAAGTTTATGTTCAGGGTTTAGGGCTTAGTTTTGGCCTTGCCCTTACCCAAAGCCTCGAAACCCATAACTGTTTCGTCAAGATCCCTGCAGCTACAAACCCCAATTAAAGCCCAAACCTCAAAATGCTGAGCTTCTGGTACTTCTCGTGGACGAGGTTTGTCATGAAGCTGTCTTCTCCCATTTCAATCCTGAGCTAAAGGCCATCGGAGAAAGCACGACTTGTTGGTCCTGCCTAAGGCGACCTTTTGCTTACTCAAACTAGGACTCCTTTTGCCTAAATACAGAGCTGCTGTCATATCATCATGGAATTAAGGCAGTACCTATTCCAACTCAACGAAAACATGATAACAACGGCCCAGAGTCATCATGGAATCGAGAATCGAGTCCTCATAGACTCCGCGGCAGAAGTCTGTCTGAACAGCTCGCACAGTGTCCTGAGACGCTTCTGGGCCGCTCAAGCCCGGAGCTCTGGAATCCAGCACATTTGGCCCGACTATAGAAACATTACCTACACTGTTTAGGTCGTTCACGATGATAAGTATAGTATAATATACACACCAACCCTATTCTAATTTCTATAGCCCCTAAATGACATGCTGTGCCGTACCTGCAGCCCCGTCCCCAACCCACTAAGCCGATTAAAGAAATCCAGAAAAACACCCTGCCGCAGACTCGCTGCGTCCATGACCATAGGGGCCTGTTTGAATGGCCATTACACCATTGTTACAATAAGGAATTCCCACAAAATAGTGTTAGCAATTATTTAGGCCCCTATAGTAACTCTGCATGTTTGCCAAGCTTCCATGGCATACATCGCACAGGAGCCGTTAAGCGGGAGTTGGAAGCGAATGGCGCTCTGGCCCAACCATAGCATCCGCTGCGAGAACCAGTCCCGCATCAGCTGGACCAAGAGGCAGAAGTTGTGCGACCTCAGATTTCATGTATCTTGTGTGCTTACCTAGACGAGGATGAGAACGCTCCCAAAACCTTACAAGCCAACACGCCCCAAATCCTGAAATCTAGCGACAGACTTTGGCCTAACAAACGGATTTGGGACGGAGATGCTTGAGCTGAGCGCACAGGGATACGTATACCCTGTGACTGGTGAAAGCCCGTGGCACAGGCTTCAATTCCTGTCTGGAACCTGCCTTGCCATACCTTGGACAAGGATCTGAATCCTGAACCCTTCCAGTCTACAGTCCTCAGCAAGGAATTTCACAAAGTACGGCGCTAAAATCTCAACACCGGTAAACCGTAGAGACAGCCAGGAATTTCAGAAAGCACTGCCCCTACCCTATATACCCAAACCCTAAACATCCCTAAACCGTACAGACCCTACAGATCCCTAAACTCTAAACTCTACACCCTAAACTGCGGTTTAGGGTTTAGGGTTTAGAGCCCCAAGCATCCGATAAACCCCTACACCCTAAACCCTAAGCATCCTGAAGATGTACAGACCCTACAGGTCGGAATGTCGCAAACTGTTCCCAGGCACTTCTTGGTCAGGAGAAAGGGGCCGCAGGCTGCCAAATGCTGATCCTGTGCCACGAAGTCATCTCTGGGAGTTTGAGACAGGGGTTACTTGGAGGGTCGGGGGACTTAGTAAGTAGGTAGGAAGTAGACTTATATGTACCCTAAAAGGAACCCTAATTGCGGTTATGGTACTTATAAGTCCTTAAACTAACCAGTTACTAAGTCACCCGACCCTCCACGTACGGTTTAGGGATGTCATCCCTGCAGTGGAAGCCCAAAAGTTGGAGACCCAATAGCCTCAATCCTTAAGACTAATGTATAGGGAACCCCAGCACTATTTGGCCTTAATCCGGTTTCCAACTTTATGGGGTTTACTGTAGGAGTTGAAGATAGGGGTTAGGGTATAGGGAACGATGCTATGATTTGCCCAGGCCCTGCATAGTAGGGTTGGCTGTAAACTGCAATGCCGTAACCTCAATACGGAATCCAGGTTTAGGCTGGGTTTTAGGACTTAGTTCAAGCATTGGAACAGGGCTTAAAGTCATCAGCCTTACCCCTAGGATTGGCAGCCGAACGCACTTCAACCGCTTCCAGACGGGCAAAAGCCCGCGACCCTTGACGGAACTCCCGCAAAGACGAGCATGTAAACAACTGCAAGAACTGCAAGCGTAGGTTTATGATATTATGTGATAATACATGCGTGTATAGAACAGTCATGGCTAAAGCAGACTGCATGCATACATACCCGCATACAGACATACATACACATGCATGTTCGCTATGTTACTTGTAGTTGATCCTGCATGTCCTTTGTTTGTTCCTCTTGCGATATCTACTCGGAGCCTGAGCTCTTCTTGAACCACTGCTGAGCCAGAGTAGGAAGAAGCGCAGGCATTCCTACAAGCCATGAAAGCAGCTCTCCAAATTAGGGCCCCTTTTACTTTTAGGGGTGTGTTTTAAGGGTGCCGTAGTATTTTGGGGACCTAAACAGGGACCCTAATTTAGAGATCTACCCCATATAGTACCCTGACAGAAGAACCCTATTGAAGCCCGTATAGATCCTTCTAAAGAACCCTACAAAGCATATGAGAGTGCGGTTGTTTTTTTGGAACCTACAGCCAGAGCCTAATTTAGAGAGCGACCTATGCAGCAAAACCCTCGGCTCCTGCATGCACCTGTACATCTTTCCCACATGCTCCGGTTCCACACGGCAGTCGCCATCCTGAGTCTTGGATACGACAGGCTCTCTCCTTCAACAACAGGGCCCCAAAAAGTTCAATCTTTCCAAGATGGAACTAATATGCAAGGCCGAAAAGTTTAAAGCTCTCCGGTTCACTATCTAAGATGGGTGATCGGAAGCTCGATTGGGGTTTCTGACAGCAAGGGTCTTTGAGTCTACTAATAGCTATCCTACTTATATAACTGATCTAGGGAAGTTGGTGGGTCATATGTCAGGAGAGAGGCTCTGAAAATGTGTGGCTCCCTCGTCTCTGACGTCCGTTCATTACGGATGCTACGAACAACCACTTGTCATGACTGTAGCTACCCATATGCTCCGTTGCGGTTCCTTTCTGTGGTTCATATTTGAAGATCCTATAAGGTAGCCGCAAACTTAAAAGGAACTGCAATGGAGCCTATGGCTACAGTCCAACGGACTGCCATCAACATGAACTGCGCATACTCGATATCTAAATTACCCTAGGGGTCCATGTACCAAAGTAGTATATACCGTGGCCCGAAAGTACCTATATAGGGACTGCTTTAAGGCCTTAAATATGCTATTTGGGTACGTGGGCCCTTAGGGTTAGGTAACCAAACCAAAAGCTATCGCCTGTCTTTCACCCTAGGATGAAGCAACTTAGCCCGTCAGGAGTCCTCTGAATGAAGGAACCCCGAAACCCTGGACCCTAGAAAGCCCAGGAGCCAGCAGCAGGAGAGCTTTTGGGTTGGGTCGGCTGGCATCGTAGTCAGCCTGAAGCAGCGACCTTGGACAGGGCAGTGCCGCAAAAGAACTCGCGATCTCACTTAGCTTCAGTTAACAAACATAGTGAGACCAGTAATAGTAACAAGACTGACAATAATACCAATCATAGTAAGGAAGTAAGGTTAATACTAACGAGGACCTTACGATTTAGGTTTTTGCAGGAGATCCCCAATTTTCTGAAACTCCCATATGACGGTTCGGGGTCTCGTTTGTCCAACCTTTTGGTCAGGCATGCTAGCTCTGACTTCGGAAGTATTCTGGTTCATGCCTACACGCTGACGATCCAAGGAAAGAACTGTTTTCAATGTAGGGTCTACATACGTCCAACAGCCCTGTCTGGAAGCTGCCAGAATCTTCACCCCAAGCTTCGACTGCAGCTGTATTGCGACATGTACCCGACCCCCCAAAACCGTAGATCCCTAAATTCGAATCACATCCAAACTCTAAATACCCAATCCATGACATAGAATCAAGTGTCCAAGGGCACAAGCCCTAAACAGCTGAAGCTCACCAAAGGGCATGCATAGAGCCTGTGACGCCCGCTTCGATCGTGGACAGTCTTTGCCCTTCACCTGTGCAAGGATGAGAGTTTAGTGTTTGAGGTGTAGGATGCCGGGGCTGAGGGTTGCTGAAAGGGTTCTGGAAAGGTCTCGGAGTAGGACTTAGCATTTCGGATTTGACGGTTTATGGCTTCAGGATGCAAAGTTAGGATTTGGGATTCAGCATTGAGAAAGTTTAGGGTATACAGGACTTAGCATTTTAGGATTCTGGCTTAGTAGCTTTTTGGATTTAGGTTTAGGGTTTTAGACTCAAGCGGTTTGGCTCTACCGTTTAGGCATTTAGAACCTACATTTCTTTGGGATTTTGAGGGTTTAACATCCGAGTTTACAGGCTTTGCGGCATCTTGTGGAATGCCAATAAAAGGTGTCCACGATAACATTTCAGCTGATGTTGATGCGATCCAGAAAGAGTCAAGGTGATGGTAGTTATTTTTTCGTCCTAAGAGCAATGCTGCTGACGGTCACTCTGACACTGATGCAGACCAAGATGACAACAGTGATGACGAGGATGATTAGCAACAGACACGAATTGCAGTGACTTATGGGAGTTTCCGAAAATAGGGTTCCCTAATATGCTACCCTAAATAATAGTATCCTTATTATAAGGACCCCAAAGTAAGGTACCCCTATTTTTGGCAACTCCCATATGTTGCTGGCCTGGCGCACTTAGTTTACCATTGTCAATGCTGTGGTGACATGCGTAGCAGAAGCCCAGGGCCGAGCCGCATAAATCTCGAAAGGATATGGGACGGCACCCGGCTTGATACCGCGGATGCACACGCAGCCATGATCCATCTCCACCTTCCGTCAGGGCTTAGATTTACCCTATAGCGTCCACTATTAGCCCATTTTTGGTGTAATTAACCTACATATTTCATAGTCAAGCCCGAAATCTGAAGGGTCTAAGGCTCCCGGAGTGCCCCAGGCGCCTTGAAGGATGTGCGCTGAATCATAATGCACAGAATGGCTTAGATGCTTTTGAAGTGCACCAGACTCTTTCTCTCCGCAGAAGCAGGGTTTAGTGTTCGGGCTTGAGGGATTTGAGTTTTGAAGCCCTACGCATTGGGAGCCACATTTCTGAATTCGGGGGTGTTGGGTGCTGTGGGTATCCCAACATCCTTAACGTCCCTCTACTAGACCTGGATGAACGGCCGACGGTCCTGAGGAAGCGGTCCTGCTCGGGTTTCCAACAATCCCTTCCTAAGCATGCGGACGACATGAGCCCACAGGGCTCCATTACCATATTATATATATATATATGTAATATGAAGAGAGAGAGAGAGAGAGAGAGAGAGAGAGAGAGAGAGAGAGAGGGTGCATAGCAAAAGGTACTGGGTCCATACCTTGAAGGGTCATTTGGCCCTTAAAGCCTCAAGGGTGACTACAATTTTCCTACCATTCTACGAATCCAATCATTGAGTGCAACCTGAACAGCCCTTACCCTTAATCCTAAACCTAAAAAAAACCTAAAAGCCCTAAGCATCCCTAAACCCTAAATCCCACAGGTCTCCAAGCCCCAAGACCTAAATCGTGAACCCTCGAGTAAAGCCCCTGCCTTGCCAGGCGGTAGGATAGAAGTCAAGGATGCCAAAATCTCAAAGTCCTTCGGTTGATGATATAAATCCTAGGGTTCCTTTAAAGGGATCCTATTAGGGGTACCTTTAAGGGGCTCCTTTAAGGGATCTATAGAGGGCTAAGGGTTTAAGGATATAAATCCTTCATTACCCATAATAGGGAATATATGGGAATTATGGTATAATCCTTAATATGGGTAATGCAGGATTTGTATCATCAACCGTTTCTCTAAGGCTTTGTAAGGGAATCTGGGAGCAATGTAGGGTTCAGGATATACAGGGTATGTGAAGTTCGGGTTCAGAATTTAGCAAGTTATGGTTTTGTCTGAAAGTCCTCTGAAGTCGGGCTCCTTGTAAGGGATGCTTTAACAGTCTCTCTTAGGGTTCTATCAGGGTATACTGCAAGGGTTGCCGCCGTTGTGCTTTCAGGGTACTATAGTTCAGGCTCAGGGTCCCCTTATGCGCCACTAGAAGGATTCTCTAAGACCACTCTAAAGTTTGCTCAGGGGCTGAGTTCACTGGCCCCAAAAGGTCAGCCTTCTGAGATATAGCAGGGTTGCATAAACCCCAAAAAGGTTAAAGGATACCTACTCAGCCCCTAAGTTTAGGGCTTACAGGGCCTCAGTATAATTAGACTAGGGTTCTGGGGCCTATTATACTAAAATATATAATAAGGTATCCGCAAAATCGTATTAGTCATTACTTGTAGGCCCTATAGTACATTACAAGAGGCCCTGAATACCAAGATTTCCGCAACATCAACTCCAACACCTCCCTGTACCCTAAGAATCCATGTGCCCAAATAGGGTTCCTTTAAGGGTTCCGTTAAGGGTTCTGCAGGGTTTCGGGTATAAGGGTCCATGTACCCAAATAGTATATACTTCGGCCTCATACTAGACATTGGGGCCAATATACATATATATATATATATATGTATATATACTTTTTGGGCACATGGACCCTTAAGGGTAGGTACATCTAGTCTGAAAAGCCAAATGACCCTCAAAAAGCATGAGCTCTTTACGTGCAAAAAAACCCTTCCTGAGCTACGCGCCATGAACCATCAACCTTTACCACTTGAGGCCCGGTGGGCTCCAAGAGATTCAGGGCGCCAATCGGGTATGTCTTTCTTCTACTTGGAGGCTCATGGGTAGTTATAAGCGGGGTTAGAAGTAGGGCAAGCACAGTCATAACCCGTGTTAAGGGATTTAAAACTCCACTTAAAACGGCCCATGAACCTCCAAGTAGGCCCTAAATCCTATACCTTTACAGAATCCCTATAGATCCCTTTAAAGGGACCCGTAAAGGAGCCCCACTTCTAACTACCCATGAACCTCCTAGTAAGGGCTTCCGGCTTTCCCCGGGGTTCCCTTTGTTAAAGGAGTTCTCAGCTCTATGCTTCATGAGAGGAATCCTGAAAAGGATCCCTTGAAGGAACCCTTCGGGGTCCTATGCAAAACTCGCATAGGAATTGAGGATCTGTACTGGGGATTCCTCGCTGTCCCGACGGCTCCATGTACCCATAAAGTATATACTTAGGCCTTAAAGTACCCATATAGGGAGACCTTTAAGGCTGAAGTATCTACTATGAAGCTACATGGAGCCTTCGGGTTTACCAAATGCCCGTGCGTATGAGCAAAAAGCTTCTGCAACATGAAACTCCAACCGCAGTGTTGTTCTGAGACTAAGCCCTGCAAGAATCCTGAAGCCCTGAACTTGGAGTCTTAAACCCTGAAACCCAAACCCTAGACCTCAAAACCCAAAACCTAAGCCACAACAACCTATACTAAAAGACTTTTGAGGTCGTGTAACAGGATAATAGGGAAACCCTAAACTCTTAAACCCTGAACCCTTCAACCCCAAAATACTTAACCCTAAACCCTTAAACCCTAAATTACTAAACCCTAAACCCTTAAACCATAAAATACTAAACCCCGAACCCGAAGCCCTCAACTTCCAAGAATGTCGCCACGGTCCTCGGGAGTCGCGGCAGAGTCCGTCTCCAAAAACTTCGGACTCTCCGGGTTCTCCACATCCACGCCCTGTCTCACCTCGCAATGCATGCATACACACATGCAAGAGTGTATGCCTATTTCGTGTGTATATGTACAGATGTATACATCATGTGTATATGGATATATGTATATATGTTTATATGTGTCTGTATATATATATATATATGTATGTATGTATATATGTATGTATGTCTGCCTGTCGTCTTTGCGTTGTGTATGTATGTGCATACAGAAGACTCCAAAAAGATGCAACCGGATTAAGGCCAAATAGTGCTGGGATTCCCTCTACATTGCTATTAAGGATTGAGGCTATTGGGTTTCCAACTTTGGGGCTTCTACCGTACATACATATGTATCGTACTGTAGGGGCCGTCAAACGTAGTTTATGGCTTTGCCACTAGACAGCCAACTCGGGTTCAGGGTTTCGAAAATTGTTTTCGGTTCCAGTCGGGGGTTTTACTTACCTTTGGTTAGTAGGGAATGAAAGAATGGTAGTAATAGTAGTTATAACTGTACCCCATTCCTCCATTCCCTACTAACCAAAGGTAAGTTTAGGGTGTGTAAGGTTACAAAGCCAACTGCACACCCTCTTGGCGATTGAAACTAGTGAACGACATTAGTAGGTGGTTAGAATAATAAATGTTCTAGACCTAGCCCTAAACCGTAAACCCTGAAGCACGCACACGGAAAACCCAATAAAAGTTTATGGCTCAATATCCTGCAGTACATTGTATACCAGTTGAGCTTCCATCAAAAACAACAAGACTCCACGGAACAAGGATGGGGGGGGGGCCTCGAGAAGAAGAAGCTGCATCTCAGTCCTTTATAAGCTACATTGAAGCTCGTACCCGGCGCCACGCACAGGGATCCCTATACCGCAGAAATTCGCGGTCACCTTGCCCGAAAACCCTGAACCCGAAGGTCTGGGTGGTTGTTTCGAAGCAAAGACCTACACAAATCGGAAAAACGGAACACCTAAAGCCGTACACCCTAAATCCCTAAATCCTAAACCTAAACCATCCAGTATAGCAGCAACAGCCGCAACACAAAGAATTCCCCGAAATCGCAGCACTCAAAAGCGGAACCACCGGAAGCTGGCCATATAAGGCTACGAGACAGGTACCATAAGGTTACTGTAAAGGCTCAGGGTTGAAGTGGGCCACCATGGAGGGCCATGTAAGATTACGAGAAGGGCCCCATAGGGCTACAGTAAGGGTTTAGGGTATAGCGGGCATGGAGTTGAAGGCCCAGGCTAACCTTTATTCTTTATTATGTGGGTGGTTGTCAAAATTAGGGTTCCTTTTTAGGTCCATATTATAATACGGCACCTAATATTTAGGGTACCCAAAAAGGACCATAATTTTGACAACCACCAATGTGTTTCTTTTCGAGTCTGACCTTGTGAATCCACTCCATGATCTCGTCCTGGTCGAACCTTAGGAGGCGCTTCTGATCGGTTAAAGAGAAGACCGTTGTTTTCCATGCGATGTAGGGGTCTTCATAACTAGAATAGCCTTTTGGGGGCTCCTCATTATAGGGCTTTGGGGGGTTCCCTCTAATGATTGCAGTATAATATACCTATGCACTGGGCCACTGGGTTCAGAAGTACCCAGATCCGCGGCAGCTCGTATAGGGGCTGCATTTCTTGATGAGAGCATCTGCTGGGTACATCGAAGCATGCTGAAAAACCCATCCTTAAAGACGACATGAACCCTGAAAGGTTTAAGGTTCATTGACCATATGCCTAATATCGGGACTCAACGCACGAGGGTGCAGGGCCCCTAGTTTTAAGGACCATCTGATCCTTAACGATGACACTGACAACTTCACGCAGCAAAGACATCAGCCATACTGCCACCAAGAAGCCGCTGAAGGCCATCCACGAAGACCATCAGCCGTGCCGAGGGACCCGACTCCTTGGATGAGGGTTTGGCAAGTTGGATGTGCGATTTGGGCGCAAGATAATCCCAGAAGGTTCATATAATATGTACTACCATTATGGAACAGGTCCCTAAAGGCCACCCTGAAAGTTTCAGGGAGAGCAGACTTCTAGCGGGCGCGACTCTGTGGCAATCAAGACGGCTACTCCTCACTGTCGAGGGTCCAACGCGACGTGCGGGCAAGGTGAAACTTGTTTGAGAACCCAGGCATGCAACGCAATACTAACCGAAAACAGGGACGATACTCCGAAAAAATGGCGCTATACGGCACATATCACCGAGCTCACGCAGGATCGAACAGATTTCGGACCAGTGTTCGGATTGACAGCTGCAGGCGCCCATACAATCTTGTGCAGGCCAGAAATGTGGACACAGTGTTGGGAAAACGGCTGGAAGCTGCTTGGATTTGAGAAACTCAAATTTATGACAGCGATGGTGGTGACGCTGAAGGCTTGAAGACGATGATGACTACTACTGCCATTCCAAAGACCAGCCCAGCAATGAAGCATGAACTGCCGACTCTCGGCGCCGCTGCCGCTACTACTGAAAGAACGCGAACTGCTAGTATTGCTACTTGGAGGGGAGGAGACTTAGTAAGTAGGTTATAAGTAGAGTTGTAAGTACCTAAATGGAGTTACCCAAATTATAACCCTACTTATAACCTACTTACTAAGTCCCCTGCCACTCCAATTTCATAATGCTACTACATATGGAGCCTCTGGGCACAGTATTACTATAGCTTCAAAGCCCAGCTGCCGTAGAGTCCAAAGTGCTAATGCTGTGCTGCAGCTCCTCCTGTGGTTTGGCCAACACACTAAGGCCAAGATTGCGGGTCGCTGAGGTTTAGCGTCATCAGGTTGAGGTTTAGGCTTTAGGTACTGGATTTTAAGTCAAAGTCTAGAAATACCACACTTGCTACTCTGCTCGGTACTTAGGCTCTTTGGGATTGCCATGAGGGGACGATGAGGAACATGAGACCAGTGGTTTCCGTCAGATTAGCTCTACGCATATCCACAAATGCTAATGCCTATCGGCCGAAGGAGACTTTGGACTCGGGTTAAGGGCTCAGAGTTTAGGGCTTTAGGGTTTCAGGGTTTAGGGGTCTTGGGTTTAGGGTTTCAGACTTCGGGGTTTTGGAATTAGGGTTTCCGGGATTGTGCTTAAAACCCTTTGAAAATTATTTATGAATAGGTTCCCTGTATAAGGAAATATATATAAGTGAAATTAAAAATTATCCCAAAACACAACCCAGTTTCATGACGCTTCAAGAGTTTGGGGTTTAGGGCATCCTACACCTCGCAGCTCAGGAGCCAGTCCACCTTTGATTTTTAGACCCATGAATGCAAGGCATGAGCTTATGTCTGTGATGTAGGGCGGTTGGGGGTTTAGGGTTTAGGGTTAGGGTTTAGGGTTTAGGTGTTCGTTTGTTCGTGTGTTGCGCTGCCTGATAAGCCTCACGCCCCAAACCACGATTCATGCAAAAGAAACCCTGAATTGCAAACTCCTAAACCCCTAAACATGGAACCCCTCAAAACTTGAGACAAAGGCTAATTACACACCCTGGTCTGCATTCAAACACCTAATTCCGAGAACTCTATAAACCTAAAAAGCCTTCGTCTCATTGTAGCAGCTTAAAACCCTAAACCCTAAACCCGCAGCTCTGGAAGCTCTAGAAACCCTAAGCCCCAGAAGCTCTAGAAACCCTAGCAACCTGGAAACCCTAAACCCTAAAAAGCCTTCGCCCTAAACCCTACACCACTAAATCCTAAACCCATCCCCGAAGCCTTCGTCTCATTGTAGCAGCTTAAGACCACCACCACATCTTCGTTGCGTTCAGGATCATCCTGGGAGGCTGTATCATGAGGCTCTGAAAATAGCAGGACCCTTCAAGGGCTCCTTTAAGGGATCTATATGGGTTCTATAAAAGGTTTAGGGTTTAGGGTTGGGAGTTTCCGAAAACTGTTTCTCTGTTCCCCAGAGGCCATAGTAGATAGTCCATTCTGGAATTAGGTCTCAAAGGACCATCCATTTTTATGGCTTTGGGAACCTGGTTCCATAATGTTACTATACATGGAGCCTCTGGTTCAAAAACCGAAACCACTAACTGGTTCCTAACTAGCGGGGCTTCAGGCTCCCATTCTCTACGATTCATGCTTAGTCGTCCGGTATCCTACGAAACCGATGAGGTGCCCAAGTTGAAGGTTACCCACTCTACTACGATGGTGAAGGCTTCTACATGCTTCTACTTCAGAATCATCCCCAGAGCGAGACCTTGTAGGGTTCGGGGCTGCAGGCACTTATATCCGTGCATAAAGCTCAACGAAATTCTAAACCTGAAACTCCCAAACCAACAACCCAGCACCCAGGAAAGTGAAGATGACAGAATCGGGTGCCTTGGTTGTCAATGACATAGTCGTCATCAAGTTCCGTGGGCTCTGTGGCATGTACCTGTAAGGGCACGAGAGGCTTTAGGAGTCTACACAGGCTCATCACATGGGCTTACAGGGATTTTACCAGGCGTCGGAAGGATGTTTGAAGCAATAGGCCGTCAGGGCTTCAGAAAACCTGAATTACAGGCTAGGGCAAGAGGCTCGCAGGGCTTAGGCTTGCTTTCGACATATTCTGATTAGGCAGAGCTGGGACCTTTGAACCCTAAAGGGAGCCTAAGCCTCATCTCTGTAGATCCGAATACCGTGCGTGTAGCTATCTCCAAAAAGACTATGTCTAAATCCGAGCCACGTACCTGCATTATGAGCGTATCAACAAAGACAAACAAACAGATAAACCACAATGTGTATTTATGCATAAACGTAGGTATATATACACAGTATGTATCTGGATCCTATCCTGCAGTCCACGTGATGCATCTTTACATTTCGACAGACAGATAGACAGATACATCGATCGATAGACACATAGACAGACAGACAGGTAGATCAATCAATACAACGATAAAATCTATACTGAACTTAGAACCCCAGCAAAATTAGAGTGTTAGCTGTTTCTTAGGGATTATAGGAACCTAAACCTAACAACTATTTCTAATTAACCATCAGACATGCGTGTTCCAATCTCTCCGTCGAGCAGCTGCCGGTACAGCAAGAGGAGCTTTAGGATCCCCAGGCAGGCCACGACCATGGCGAGATCGACAGGAGCAAGTCCTGCAATCGGTAGGGGTAGGGTTTAGGGTTTAGGGTTTAGGGTTTAGGGTTTAGGGTTTAGGGTTTAGGGGTAAAGAGAGGGGTCTTAATGATAAGACTGGGCTTTTGGTGCACGTCCAGTCGAATACAACTACTAATATACATATATACATACATACATACATGCATACATAGATACATACATACACTCATATGTACCGGGACGAAAAGGAACAATGCCGCGTATTATTCTGTTCAGGCCGCTATCACAATGCCTTTAATGCTCTTACAGTCTGTATCCTCCATTTCAGCCCGAGAGGAGTCCCCGAGCACAAATACAACGTGTCCAACCCGAATAAGCCAAATTAAACGCGAGCATCCGAACCCGAAAACCCTGAAAACCCGAGCACCCGTGTGTATGCCCCTGTATGGGCAGATCCAGAGCGCGGAAAGCCTTGCAGAGAGAAAGAGAAAGATAGAGCGAGAGAGAGAGAAAGAGAGAGAGAGAGAGAGAAAGCGAGAGCGAGAGCGAGAGCGAGAGAGCGAGAGCGAGAGAGCGAGAAAGAGAGAGAGAGAAAGAGAGAGAGAGAGAGAAGAAAAAGAGAGAGAGAGAGAGAGAGCGAGGGCGAGAGACAGAGGGTTCAGGCATAGCTAGGCCCAGATTGGCCGAGATCGTAAACCCGAGGACCCGAAGACGGTTGGGGTCCACGGCACCATGGCTCGGGGTACAAAGCCGTATATTAGTGTCAAGTGTTCTTTGGGTAGGGTTATAAAACTTGTAGCACCAGACCTCACAAATAGAAGGCTGTGGGGGCAGTAAACCCAACAAGTCAGTGGGATCTTGGATCGGCAGGTATAGGAGTTTCCGAAAATAGAGGACCCAATATGATGCCCTAAATAGTAGGATCCTTATCAAAAGGACCTCAAAATAAGGTACCCCCCCCCCCCCCCCCGATTTTTCGGAGATTCACGTAGAGACATTTAGGACCCCCACCCACTGTACTATGATTATAGTTAGTACGGAACCCCCACAATAGTGTTGGTAATTGCTTAAGCCCCTATATTATAAATCTAGGTGGGGCTTTTAAAGCCTTTGAACAATATTAGTAAACAAGATCCTCTTAAGCCCAATAAGGGAAAAATAAAATGTCCCAAAGCCCTACCTAGAAATGAAAGACTTTGGGGACCCCAAAGCCAGGCAAACGCGGTCCTAGTCCAAACTGCCACCACCCCTCGCCTCGATTAGTGGCTTAGGGTTTATGAGCTTAGGGGCTTGGGGGTTAGGGGTTTAGGGTTTAGGGGTTTGGGGTGTAAGGGCTTAGGGCTTAAGGGGTTAGGGGTTTAGGGGTTAGGGTATCGGGGTTTAGGGTTTGGAGGTTTAGGGTTTAGGGTTTCGGGTGGCTCCGGGGCACAGGGCAGTTTAAGTTTAATTAGGGCTGCTTTCAGGGTTTCGAGTTTAGGCTTTGGGTTTGGGGTTCAGGGATCTTGGTTATGAGTATAGGGCTCATAGGGTTCGTAGGGTCTAGAGATACTTTCAAGGTTGCGCGTTCTCGGGCTAGTCGAGGTTTAGGTTTTGGGGGTTGTGGGGCTCATGATTTGGGGTCTGTAAGCCCGAAACATCCTGTCTCTCTAATTAATTACAGTAGGCCCCATAAAGTTGGAAACCGGATTAAGGCCAATACGGCCAGCTGGGATTCCCTATACTCTTAAGGATTGAAGCTATAGGGTTTCCAACTTTCGGGCTTCTGCTGTAGACCCTCAACCGTGTTTGGTCTTTCGGGATTGGGCGGGATTCTTCAGCCAGTGCAGTTGACCTAAGTCCGCAGCAGGATGCTCTGATGTTGTTGGTCCTAGAGTGCACGCAAAAATATAGAACACATTCGTATATATGCGCATATGAGCTTGCCTGCATCCAGTGCTAGAGAGAGAGAGAGAGAGAGAGACATGTATCTGAACACATACATACAGCATACATACACATGCAGACCGACAGCCCCCACAACCGTGAATCCAACAACGCGTGTGAAGCTTCAGCTGCAAAATGGGTTCTATTATAAGCCAATAGCGGCAATAGCGAACTTCGGCATAGAACTCAATCAAAACAAGCGAAGACTATATCTTTCAGGATTGTGCGGAGCCCTCAAAAAAGATCGTGCAAGAATGCCCTATAGAACCCTTACAGAACCCCTGTTGTGAATGCCAAAGCTGGCCAAGCTAGAAGACAAGTCGAGTCACAGGAGGGAAGGGTCTCGGCTGCGCTCATGAACATGTCTGTCACGGGCGCCTGAAGGAGGGCGGGAATGTTGAGCTTGGATGGAAGGTTCAGTCTAGGACTAGTGCATGATATAGGTTCTCGTAGCATTTTGTATTTAGCTGGAGAGTAGCCGTAAAACCTTAACCTCAAACGCTATACCCTAAACTGCAAGCCCTAAGTCCTTAACCTTAAGTTCGCATTGGTTTGGTTCATCGTCTGCCTCATTCTCCAGCGTTCTGATCTCCTGGCTAGAAGCTGACTACGCTTATACAAGACACTGTATGGTATATATTGTACTCTACCAAGAACAGAGTATAACACAATATAGAATGATATGTTATACCATGATATTATGATATATGATATACTATAACTATAGAAGAATAGGATGGAGCATAATCGAACTGAATAAAATAGAATGTGATTAGAATAGAACATGATATGGTAAGAGCCGTTATTTTATACATATATATATATATATATATACATAAATATATATATATATATATATATATATATACATATATATATATATATATATGAGACACACACACACACGCATAAAGATTGCTTAAAGGTTCAGGGGTGCCTAGACCTGGGGCATCGTGACATTGGAGACTGGTTGACGACGTATTACGGGGGTTTCCGAAAATAGGGGACAATAATCTAGTACCCTAAATCGTCGGATCCCCATAACCCCTAATTTTCGGAAACTCCCTAAATTTCAGAACCCTTCAAGGACCGCTTTATTCCATAAGGGTTCTTTTAACGGGATCTATTATAAGGGTTCCGCTAAGAAGATCCATACGGTTCTTTTAAAGGGATCTATTATAAGGGTTCCTTTCAGTAAGGGTTCTTTTGAAAGGATCCATATGGGTTCCCTTACAGGGATCCATAAGGAGTCTGTTAAAGGATCTATAAGGGTTCTTTTTAGGGGTTGTGGATTAGGAGTTTGGGTTTACGGTACCTCTAGATCCCCAACAGCACAACGAGATTTAAATCCTGTAGTCCTACAGACTAAATCCTACGCCCTCAACCCTGAAACCCTAAACGTTAGACATGTAAACCCTAAAGCCACTGCCTAAACCCTAAACCCTAAAGCCACTGCGGCCCTGCCTGACGCGGTTGAGGCTGGATCGCAATGTCGGGGTAATTCAAGCCAAAGGCCGGGGAAAAATAGCTGCAGCACGACAAATGTCCGGAAATGGTGGGCTTTAGGGTTAAGGGTTTAGGGGAAAAGCCGAGGATAGGAGCATAAAGCAGTGAGGTCCAGTTGTATCTTGGGATCCTAAGAGTTAGAGTAGTAAGGTTCTTGCATAGGTATGATGTAGGGCAGTCAGGGGTAACCATTAGGGTTCCTATTTGGATTCCTATAAGGCCTGCCATGAGGGTTCCTATAAGGGCTTCCTTAAAGGCTTCCTAGGAGGCTTCAAAGATTCCCAGTGGTTTGTGCCTGGGGGGGGTCTGTTGCTCTGCACTTATCTGGCATTCTTCGGGACATCCCGTGGCCTAAGATGCCTTGGCTTCAGCTTCTACCCGTAAGACGGCACGGCCTCTTTTCTGACGGTTCAAGGGTCTAGGGTTTCAGGGTTTAGACTAATGATGTAGACTTTAGGGATTACGGCACTTACGGACTAGGGTGGGATGGCATGTTGGTCTTTACATGACAACGCAGGTCTGGAGTTGCTTTCTGATGCAATGGACGTCGCCATCATACCATACCTGCTGTTTTGATGAAAGAAGCGACGATCCAGACTCCGACATTGAGCTTGACATTCTGGCTGACTGCTCATCACTACTCCCAAACCAAGAACTCCGTTCCCGAGCTACCTCAAGCTGAGACATGCAAAATTGCTAGTGTACCAAAACTTCGATCGTACCAAAGTAGCCCGAAACGCAGAAAGACATCCTCCTGATATTATTCAAACTCTGCATTGCTGACGCACTCAGGTCCCGCTAAAACCCAACCTGGTCACCCAAACCTACATCCTCAAATTATGAAACGCTTCCATTTTTTGGACTACCTCATGAGATTCTAAATGTGGACCCCCAAAAAGGAACTACTATGGGGCGTATGGGTATAGGGCGGCAGACTACCCACAACCTCCAAGTACATCCTAAAATTATGAACCCCTAATGCCCAAACCCTAACCCCTGGGCCTATGGGACCCCGAAACCCAAAGCCCTAAACATTAACCCTTAACCCCTAAACCCCAAACCCTATACTAATGGTATCCACAAAGCCCCAATGCACCCGCCTCAGAGCTCGGAGAGTCTTTACCAAGACTCTGAGAGGAACCCTTAAAGGAGCCCGGCCCTTACCCAGAGGCTCCATAGCAGTTCCTTCTTTGGGTTTCATATTATGTAGAACCCTATAAGGTAATCCCACAAAGGCCCACCGGAGACACTGAAGGCCCCTCAAAGCAGCCCTCAATAAAGCTCGCTAGCAAGTCCTGGAAAGTGCAAAGAACTCGAATGACGAAGGGGCTGGTGATGCCTCGGAGGGCGTTAGGCTCCCTCAAGGGTTCTTTCTAACCCTAAACCCTAAACCCCCCCAACCCTAAACTACTAAGTTAGTCGTGGGTTTAGTTGTGAAGGTTCAGCACTTCAGTAGGCTGGCTACAGGATTTTAATGCAGGTCTAGAAGGGGATCTACAACGTTTCTGTGCAAATAAGCGTAATGCATCCGACGTCTTAAGGGTTTAGCATTTAGGTGGGCTCGAGCGGTTTACAGTAGAAGCCGG